ATGACGAGGTTGATCCAGATTACAAGTACTTGTATGTTTCATTTTCATGTCATGTTGGTCGACGTCGACGATCAGAAAGCAGGCACCTGAGAACATCACAGTGAGTGCTGTAAAGTACCTCAGTTTTATATTTAAGATCTAAGTACATAGGGTGTCCATCAAGTTTCAGATTTAAGCTGGAATTCGGACTATATAAAGTGGTCGAACCTGTCAATACTCGACACAACCATGCGTTGTCAAGAGAACTGCTATTGTCTGTTGAGCCGACAGTTCGGAGACTAAGTTTAGAAGAAAAATCTAAAATATTACCTCTTGTAGAGAGAAACGCCCCCCCTGCTCAAGTTATAAATATGATTGATGTTGAGTTTGGAAAGCTGATGACCTGCGATGATTATCGGAATTTCCGGGAACAAGTCTACCCTAGTAAGTTATCATCTTGCGTTAACAGTCTCTACAGGAATGCGAGACATTGACACACTGATTGGTGAAATTCGTGACACAGGTTCCGTATGGTACGTGCTGGACAGTCGACGACGTGTGGAAAAGTTTAGTTTCGCAACCGGAGAAATGATAAGTTTATATAAAAAATTTCCAGAGGTTGTGGGCATGGATTCAACCTACAATACGAATAGGGAGGGGTAATATTGAGCGCGCTTTTCGACTATTACGCTACATTTTGGTCATAAATAAAATCTCTTATAACTCTAAAATTTTATGCAAAGTGTTTGCGGAAATTATCACAATTATTAACCTTTTGAACACTGAATCCAAAAAATACCATCTTATTGACAGATAATACACATAACTCACTGTTTGGATTTGTGGAATTTTTAAACATAAACACATCTATAATTGTATATATTGTTGGATTTATATGTTCAAGTTGCTCCAAGTCAGTGAGTTTATGGTTAAGATATCATTTTAGTTAAACGTACTGAACTATATTACATGTTGTCCTATTTTATAGTTGTCGTCGCTTTTTGCCCTTTTTTCTGTGAACTGTTTCCTTTGTTGATGTTGTTCTCATTGTTTGTCCGTTATTTTCTGATTTTGAGGGGAGCAACCCAAAAAGTTGCTTCTCTCTAAACTTTTACTTAATGTAATCATTCTTTTCTCAGGCGTGAGGCTAGCAACCACACCCTGTAAACAAAGTTGCTACAGAACCTTCAGCAAAATGAACCTCTTTGCACCTAAAGAAAAAGTCTGTGTAGGAACATGGAACGTCCGAACTATGTACGAGACTGGAAAAGCTGCCCAGATCGCCAACGAGATGAAAAGATACGGAATACAAGTGCTGGGAATATGTGAGAGCAGATGGAATGGGAGTGGACTCACCAAATTGTCAACAGGTGAGTCAGTGATCTACTCCGGTCACCCAGAAGATAACCACACGCACACCGAGGGCGTGGCTATCATGATGTCACCAACGGCAACGAAAGCCCTGATACAATGGGAGGCGATTTCGTCCAGGATAATGACCGCCAGGTTCAACTCCAAAGGAAGGAAAGTGTCAATCATACAATGTTATGCACCCACAAACAACGCAGACCTCGAGAAGAAAGAAGAATTCTACAGGCAACTACAGGCAACAATGGACAATACTCCAGCTGGCGACATGAAAATACTAATGGGAGACATGAACGCCAAACTGGGACCAGACAATACGGGAAGGGAACTCATCATGGGTAGAGAAGCTCTAGGAGAAATGAATGAAAACGGAGAACTCTTCGCCGACTTCTGCGCCTTCAACGAACTGGTGATTGGTGGCAGTGTATACAAGCACAAAGATATCCACAAGGCTACATGGGTGTCACCAGACGGGCAAACCAAAAACCAAATCGACTTCATCTCAATCTCAAGGAAGTGGAGGCGCAGCCTACTGGACACAAAAGCAAGAAGAGGAGCAGACGTTGGCTCAGACCACTATCTCGTACAAGGGACAATCCAAATCAAATTAAAAGCTTTCAAAGAAGGAGGAGCTGCAGATAGACCACAAGCCAAGTTCAACACTCAAAAGCTGAAGGACCAGGCTACAAAGGACATCTTCATTGCAAGCATAAAGGACAAAGCCGAGACACAAATCAACACTAGCGAAGAGGTCGGCGTTGAAAAGCACTGGAACAACTTGAAAACGGTGTGGAGCCAAACCTGTATAGAAATTCTAGGCAGAAAAAAGAGACAGGACAAACAGTGGCTCACTACGGACACTTGGAAACTAATAGAAGAGAGAAAGACAGTGAAGCAAAAGATTATCCAGTGCTCCGACGAGCAACAAAAACAGGAGCTGAATGCAAGCTACAATACACTGAACAAAAGAGTGAAGAAAAGTGCCAGGGAAGACAAAAGAAAATATTATGAAACCATGGCAAACGAAGCAGAACAAGCTGCAGGCAAAGGAGACCTCGCCACACTCTACCAAACAACTAGGAACCTTTCGGGCAAACGTTCGACACAGATTAAGCCAATAAAGGACGACAATGGAAAGTCAATCACCAAAGAGGTGGAACAGAGAAAGCACTGGGTTGAACACTTCAAAAGACTTCTAAATCGTCCGCCACCTACAACACGTCCAGCAATACCAACAACGGAAGCAGAACTACCAGTGAACACTGACCCCCCGACGAAATCGGAAGTCCTGAATGCAATCAAGATGCTTAAAACTGGGAAAACACCGGGACCAGATGGAATCCCAGCAGAGGCTTTGAAAATAGACCCAGAGACAACAGCGGACTTGATGACACCACTACTGGAGAAGGTGTGGAAAGAGGGCAAAGTACCCGAGGATTGGAAGAAAAGTTACTTATTCAAACTTCCAAAGAAAGGAGACTTAAGTCAATGTAAAAACTGGCGTGGAATTATGCTTCTGTCCATTCCAAGCAAGATACTAAGTCGCATCATCCTGGAGAGAATCAAACAAGCCCTAGATGAAAAACTTCGTCCGGAACAGGCTGGATTCAGGAGAAACAAATCATGTATTGATCAAATCGCCACTCTACGGATCATCATTGAACAAAGCTTGGAATGGCAGTCACCTCTCTATCTCAACTTCATCGACTTTGAAAAGGCCTTCGACAGCGTCGATCGAGAGGTCATTTGGAAACTACTTCGCTACTACGGGGTCCCATCGACAATTATACACCTCATCCAACAGTTATACGACAATGCTGCATGCCAAGTAATCCACAACGGGAAACTTACGGAAGCCTTCGAAGTGAGGACGGGAGTGAGGCAAGGCTGTCTACTATCACCAATGATCTTCCTGATTGCAATTGATTGGATAATGCGACAGACAACGGCAACCAACGAGGGAACAGGCATAAAATGGACTGACACAAAAGACTTGGAGGATCTGGATTTCGCCGATGATATATGTCTGATTTCCCATAAACTGGAAGATATGCAAATGAAAAGTAACAAGTTGGCAGAAGAAGCATCAAAGATAGGACTTCACGTGAACATAGATAAAACAGAGATAATGAAGATTCCTAGCCAACATCAACAACACCAACAGACCACAATAAGCATAAATGGGAAGAACCTGAAAGAAACAACCTCCTTCACCTACCTGGGAAGCATCGTCTCAACTACAGGCGGAACTGACGAGGACATCAAAGCCAGAATCGGAAAAGCAAGACAAGCTTTCATTACTCTCAAATCTGTGTGGAGGTCAACAGCATTCAGCATCAAAAATAAGATCCGGATTTTCAACTCCAATGTGAAGTCAGTGCTACTATACGGATCAGAGACTTGGCGAGTCATAAAGAGCATCTCAAACAAACTTCAAACCTTCATTAACAACTGTCTCCGCTCAATACTCAAGATCAGATGGCCAGAAAAGATCAGCAACAGGGATCTCTGGGAGCGAACCAATCAGGAACCGATTGTGAAACAAATAGGCAGAAAGAAATGGAGATGGATTGGCCATACGCTGAGGAAACCAACAAGTGACATCACTAGACAAGCCCTCGAGTGGAACCCGAAAGGGAGGCGGCGAGTTGGTCGTCCAAGGGTGACTTGGAGGAGGTCATGTGAAGAGGAGATGAAAGCATGTGGGCAGACCTGGAGCAGGGTGAAAAAGTTGTCAAAAAACCGAAGTCAATGGAGGTGCGCAGCTGAAGCCCTATGTTCCTCTAGGAACTAAAGGATACAATAATAATAATAATAATATTTTAATGTTAAACGAATCTCTTGTAGTCATCCTCTATATCAACTGGTTGTTACAGATGGTATGAATAGAAGTTGTCCAGTCATGTACAGTACAACTCATCGTGAAAGACTTGTTGACGTTGAAGCAGTATTACAGTCCTTTAAGAATATTATGGGCGATACATCGCAAACTGTCACGTTTGTAATTGACAACAGTGCTGCAGAGCAACGTGCAATTCGTAATGAGTTTCCTGCCTGCTCCATCATATTATGTGCATTTCATGTCATCCGGGCCTTCAATAACAAAGTAAGCGACATTACTACTTACCTAACGTCCTTAAGTTCCGTGATCCTAATTGTAAAAAGATGTTTAAAGAGATGGTGTACACAACGAGTAACGGCAGGTAACTAAGTGATTGTGTTAACACTTCTCTAGGTTTAGTGAGTTAATGAATTTAATGGGGTTGGAGTTTCCTGCAGCCGTATCTTACATAAATAACAACTTATGGAGTTGTCGTGATATGTGGGCAGGCTGTTATATGAAAGATGTTGTCAGTCTTGGCAACAAAACGAATAACAGAGTTGAATGCTGCCATAAACACCTGAAGACACACCTAAGCAAGTGCTTTCCGATAGAATTGAGCATTCGTGAGATATGGAAGTGTTCCATAGAGTCATGGAGAAGAAAGGCTATTGAGGGAAATCGAAACCTGCATTACTACATTAATTTTAACGTAAGTCCAATAGTTGCAACTTGAAAATTTTTCAGGTGGACGAAGGCCTTTCCAGCATTTTGAGGCAGCTTACAAGTTATGCGGCATACTCACTTTACAAAAGCATCAGGAGGCATCCGGAAATGAAAGTAAATGATAGCACAGAAGCATACGTGATATTCGAAGAAGCTGAAAGGTACTTCGTTGTGGACAAACATGACTGCAGCTGCACATGTTTCCAAAACAAAAACATGCTTTTGCCATGCCGTCATCTTGTTCATACCAAATGTCATCTATATTCACGTCTGGGTAAGTTCGTATAAGCCAGCAATTATTTTGTAAAAGATGTATTTAGACATAGTACTAGGTGGTTACGATATTACAACCACACTCTCATCCAATCTCAGTCGACAACAGCGGTGGAATTGGACGTGGAGATGCTCATACAAGGAATCATATATCAAATGAGAAACCTTAAACAGACGCATCCTCGGATATGTAGAAGTGCGTTTCTTTACGTATACAATTATCTACTTGAAGCTGGTGGACAGTTGGATGATCAGGCATCTACATCGTCAGCCTCGGACTGATATACGTACATATTTTTAAAGATAACTGTAAATAAATTTTCCCATAAAAAAAATCTTCTTCATTCTGACTTGCGGAAATTGTTGTTGAAACGGTTCAACGAATAGATGTCAGCGTACTAGCCTCTGTCTCCGTGAAACCTTGGCATTCTTTTAGTATTATTACAGTAACCGTAGATGCACTCACTTACACATGTCGATTAATACAGTTACAATTACTACCGTCTTCGTTTATTACAATAAGTAGTTTTCGCAAGCATACTATATTAGCTAAATTTACTTTTCACCTTGAGTGACTATGAATCCAAAGTCCGTTAGTAGGTTCCTACTAAGACGATATATAACTCTAAGCGCTTATAATCTCAATGTTTTCTTTTAACCGTGGACGAAGTAAATTCATTACGTTGCCACATTATCGTTTTATCAATAAGCATCTCCGAATATCTTATTTTACTTGGCATTTCTAAGTTAACGTCATAAACTCCGTACCTTACAACTTACGCAAAAGCTAGAAATTAGTATTATTAAGCAGAATAAGCAAACGAACAACGAGGAATACATTTATTAGTGAATTAACATGTAAAACGAAATCGACAACAATGCGGGTATCTTTTTCTTTATCAACGAACTCCATGAAATTCCCGAAAGTAGATATTATCTGAAAAAGGACATAAGATATATACAGATATAGACATTGTTATCAGTGTTAACACAATAACTAACCATTGAATATGTTTAATATGATGAAATAATTACTTGAATTGTATATAATTATGTAAGTCAACACTCTTCATAATCTAAAATCCATATTGCATCTGCCTGCAAACATCAAGTTTATGCCATAAAAAAAGAATTACTTTGCGTATATAATTTCTAAGTATTTCTGTAAATTTTTCTTAAAGAAATACATATAGAGCAGCCTTGTAAGCATTACGAAAATTAAACAAGGAAGTAAATGATGTAATTACCGAAACGAGCTATCCCACCTCATCATGTCCATGTGGAATCCATTAAAATGCAAAAAATATTCACGAAAAGATCATTATAACATGTTTCTTCAAGTAATTCGACGTATTCTGAACGGAAAAGTACGTTTTTCCAAAAAACTGCAAACTGCCTGTAAGCTACGGCCGGATAAGGACACCACCATTGCCTATTTCTGCTTAATACGCCGTATTTCATCAACTTTTAGCTAAAATATATGTAAAAAAGTGTGTAAAACAACGAAAAATGACTTAACTTTGACGTCATTTTCAAAAATAACGCCAATATCCATCAGCTGATCAAATGACCTACGGCCGTCTACAGGCTGCCGGATAATTTCAGCCGAAATAGGACAAGGGCTTGTGGACGTGAACACTGAACGCTTGATTTTGGAACTGGTTGCCACTGGTGGGCAACTCGAAGGCGTGAATGGTTCGATCGTTTACAAGTTCAATGAAGACGAACGAAAACGAATAAAAGTACATAATATTTTCGTGTAAAATACTTGTTTATAGACTTGTATTATTCTGCACTTTAGTTTTCAAACAATATAACTTCCCTCCTACAATAGTGGTGTTTTGGAGTTAAAGTCGAAGAAAGTACATAGTATTTATCGGTGCGGAGCGTCTTCGTAACAATAGGAACTTAGGTATAAGTTCCTTGACATCTATTTGGCTACTGATATATATGTCATTTGTAAAGTGTTTACTTGTAAGTGCTAATCAACAAAATTTTTAATTCAGATGATACATGTACTACCTAATCATTAATGCTTTTCTGAAACATTGCAGGCTTATGGACTAACACATATGTGCTGTATATGTAGACGCAACCTACTGACAATAACAGACGTTTAGTCATCTGAAGTATCTGTACATCTGAAATCCCATTTTGGTTTTTGAAACACCTTTTCAATGAATCTGTGTTCCTTCTGTTTTAATGCGATTGTGTAACATAAGTAACACGTTACGAGTTGAAGGTAAACTGTTAGGAGTAAATGCGGCCTCTGGAGAAAATTTGTTTACATTATTATATGAATAGTTAGCAACGTATCGTGTTCTGTGGTTGGGAACCGTAGGCATTCTGTTTTTGATTATTACGATAACCGTAGTTGCGGTGAAATATAAATCTAACTGTTTAGGTATAGTCTATCCATATGGTACATTGCGACACATAGAAACCACAAGGACACGATCTCAGGTAGATTTAATTTCACTTTGTGACTATGAATCACGAATCCGTTCATGTGTTCTGCTAAGACCATAGGTAACCCGAAACGCTGGGATTTCGAGGTATTTAATTTATTCGATGAGACGATGCCTGCCGAATTGATGACCCGCGAAAAATATGGGGGTGTTGGGTTTGAGCAAACAACCATGAATTGATCGTTCAATCTTCAACTACATTGACAAGGCTTCTCAGAATATCTGCTCCTACTTAGTATTTCAAAGATAACCTTGTGGAGTACGTGAAAAAATATGATTGTACACTTTTTGTTAGTTGTAGGAATTAGAGACATTGTACATGATTTTGTTTAAAACGATTCGTGTCAAAATATATATAACTTCCGTGTACATTTCAAAATACACTATATTGTTGGAAGCTTCACCCTCTCTCTGGCCATTACTGTTTACTTTCTTCATTCACACCGTGCTGTATACTTTGGATTTATTGTAGGAGTCTATTATTCTTATCCGAAGACAACTCTACAGCCGGCATACAGCATCTACCAGCAGACGCAATTCCAACAGTGAGCGCTCCCGTGGATTATATTAATAATTTGTAGCAGGGGATTTAAACATTATATCCAGGTTACCTTTTTATTAATATGACTCGTTACTGCACTTTTTGATAATATAGTGTTACTCTACCATCTCATTGACTCGGATTATTATTCTCACATATGTAATGTTATTGAGCTCTCCTAACAGTCCCCTACAGCCTCATATACTCTGTACCTCACAAATTACGCAAGGGCTAATATTCCTTCTTATCAAGTAGAATATACAAACAAATAACGAGGAATAGATTTATTAATTAATTAACATGTAATACAAAATCAATTACACTGCGGAAATCTTCTTTAGCACCCAACTCCATGAAATTCCTGAAAGTAGCCATCACCTGAGAAAGAAATTGAGAAATCAAAAGATGTAAACATTGTTACTATTATAAATACAAAATTTAAGTGATAGAAAGTACTAAATAATGCGTTAAATTGTGTATGCTTATGTCATTCAATATATTTCAAACAGACAACATAATCATTGCATCTGCCTGTAAAAACTAAATCTGTGCAGCATAAGAAGTAAATAACATGCGAAAATAATTCTTGAGTATTTCTGCAGATTTCCTTTAAATAAATGCTTGTGAAGGACCCTCGAAACCATCACTTAAGGTACACAACAAAGTCAGTGAAAATGACTAACAAAACTGACTAGTTTACCTCATCCCGTCTATGTATAATCCTTTGAACTGCAAAACACTTGACAAAACACGCCTGGTATCCAGTGGAATAACTTAAATTATTACCAAATTTGGATATAAATCAAGACTAAGACTCGATGCTGTACACACCAGAACTATATGCGGAAATGACCTGAAGCCTTATCTTTTCCCAATTATTTGTAATCCATCCAAAACATACTTGGGTATTTTTTGTTAATGCGAAGACAATATTTCTATATTTCTTGATGTGCTCCATTGAATGACTAGTTATCACATTGTTCCCACAAACCAAAAACAAAAACAACAGCAACCATATAATTTAACCATAAAACAAATTTATGTAATTTAAATGGTGCTTATCCATGCCTGTAAAACTGATGCGCCCTACCCGGTTAGGAAAAAATATGTGTTTTATTAAATCACTATTATCAAATATGCTTACTAATCGTATATGTAATTTATCATATTGATGATAAACTGGCGTCCTTCATTTACAAAATGAGAATATATTATTATTGATGCTCCTACACAACCTGTTCATTTTATAAATACAGTAGAATTCTGTAACTGGACCCAAAATTTTACTCACCCTACGGGTAAAATCAATATCCTGGATCTTATTTTCCCTGACAACATTCTTCCTGTCAGCGATAATTTTGGGCCTTTATTCCCTGAGTGACCACAACACGAGCATTTTTATCTTCGGCCTAGCAGCGAGTCAGTCAGTTAAATACTATCACTGAACGATAAAGGTCAGAGACTTTCTAAGTGGAAATCAATCGTATCCTTTATTTACTGTCAATACTGGAATACGTTTTCTCCTCAAACGACACAGATGCCGTTATCGTCAGTCTCTGATCCATCATATCAGTTTGTTTCAATGAATCCGTCCCTTGGTTTATATCCAAAGGCAAATTTGTAGCTCAACTATATATACAGAAGGTTACTAGTAACAAGTTTATAAGACTCCGTAAAACTTATATCAAATTCATGGACCTCTCTTCGTGCACTTATAGCCTAAGTGTGCGATAAAAGTCAGATCAGATAATGCCAATCACATTTAAAGAGAAGAACTGTTCGAGCCTGAAAATAATTGTGAAATTAGATCTATTAGTATAAGCATCCCAAAAAGACTTCAACAGAAATGAGGTGACGTTCCTTAGATTCTTCGTATTAATTTTCTGTTAACTATGGTGTGAGCATAGCTGAATTCCTCAACGAGCGCTTTCCTGATTTATGCGGGCACGATAATTCCATACATATCAACTGTGACTCTGTAACAACAAAACACTATTGAATCTATGCCTGAGAGTTTATGTTATTAAAAGTGCAATTAGTTACTTGAAATTCTCCAGTAATCCAGGATCTGATTCAATTTCCTCATCTTTTCTAAGAAGTTGTGTTCTTAACCCTCTTTTTTGCTTAAAATATCTTCAACTCAACTCTAAATTATACATTTAATCCCTGCCTACACATGAATGTACCGGTTGTATAGAAATGAATAAATATTTGAATTGCATAAATCAGGTTTACAGTGAATGTACCTGGTTGCTGTTCTTTTTGACTTTGGCCCCCAAGAACAGTCTCCTGTCTGGTCAGCCGATGAACC